AGTTCTAAGTGCAATTGAACAAGGTACTTAGAGTAGCAGCTTCTTGGGTAGGTGAGAGTAAAGTGATGGTGCTGTGGGGTCGCTAGTCATGTGCCATTCTAGATAGAGAAAAAAAACATGCAATAGGAAGAATATAAGAAGAACATAGTGCATGTGGGGTGTGTTAAATTGTTGATGAGTTTGGTTTTTTTTTTTTTTTTTTTTACATTTATTTTTTAGGTGTAGATGGATACAACATAATGCCTTTATTTTTATGTGGTGCTGAGGATCGAACCTGGGTCCCGCCCGTGCTAGGGGAGCGCTCTACCACTGAGCCACAATCCCAGCCCCAAGAGTCTGGGTTTTATTATTGGACCATTTCTATTATGTATTCTCCACATAGATTTTTTAAAGTATCTGTTTTTAGTTGTAGATGGACACAATACCTTTATTTTATTTATTTATTTTTATGTGGTGTCAAGGATCAAACCCAGTGCCTCACACATGCTAGGCAAATGCCCTACCACTGAGCTACAACCCCAGCCCTCTACATAAACTTTTACATGTCACTTAAACACTTTTCACTTTCCTCATTTGCAAAGTGGGGAAAATAAAAGTAGCTAGCTCATATGATTGTTGCAAAGATTAAACAATATAATGCATGTACTATTGAGTGCTTAGCACAGTGTTAGGCTTGGTTATTGTCATCATTCATATTTAATTTCCACCCAAAATACAATTGGTGTGGTAGAGGATGAGGGGTCTTATGTACGTAAAAGATTTTGTACCATGAGAAACCACCAGCAAGAGCAGGGACAGTGATACATGGTATTGTTTGTGTTGAAATGTCTACTGTGCTTTGGGAGAGCATCTTGAATGTAAAGACAAGGGCCAGGGCAGTGGTGTGGAGCTAGGAATTTTCTGAGTAGGTTGTTAACCATAGCCATTTTTAAATACTAAATCAAACTAAAATTAAACATTTTAAAGGTGTATACTTTCCTAATTACTACATTTTACTATTATCTAAGTTTCTGAGAAGTTTTTAAAAATCTGCTATATCTGAAGAGTGGAAACACTATATAATGGTGAGCTACTGAGCATCTCTTCCCAACACTGTTCCCAGTGACAGTAGCTTGAAATGAGCCAGGGTTGGGTATTTGCCCCATGGAAATAAGCAGATACTGCAAATCAGTGCTTTCCCCACTTCTGCAGAGCTGGTTGTGGAATCTCTGTGGCTATAGTACCAAGCCAGAGAGATTCCTTAGAATAGCCAGTAGAGTGAAGATGAGTACTGAATCTAAGGACTTAGAATGGAGAGGAGAGGACAGACTTGACAGTCACATTAGTGTTAGGATCTGCGTGCACAGTGACTAACTGAACGTGGGGGAAATAAAGATAAAGATTGAAGCCTAAGACAAAGGTCTAACTTGCGGAGCTCTCCTTTGCTGCCTTTGATGAAGCAAAAGGCAATATTGTGAGCTGTCCTGTAGAAAGGCCCTCATGGCTAGGAACTGAAGGTCACTTCTGGCTGTCAGCCAGCAAAGAGTGGTGGCCTTTAGTCCAATAGCCTGCAGGGTGCTGTATCCGGCCAACAACCATGTATGAGCTTGGAAGCAGATCTATCCTCACTGAGCCTTCATATCAGATTCCAGCTCTGGCAGACATCTTGATTGCAACCTCTTAAGAGACCTTGAAGTAGAGATCCAAATAAGCTGATGCCAATTCTAGACCTACCCAAACCATGAGATAATGAAGATGTGTTGTTTTAAGCTGAAATTAAAAATTAAAAAAAAAATAATAAAATAAAATTCACTCTGCCAATATTGATTATGAGGGGTAAGGATGTCTAACTCTTCAAATACTTTTCCTTTTTCCTTGTCATAGGGCAGAGAGAATAAAAAACAAACATTATTAAATTAGGTGAAATCAACATATTGTCCTTTTAGATTGTGACTTCCTCTCTAATAATGACTGTTCATTATCCCCTTTGCCAGGTATGTAAATGCTGGTTCTTTGCTGTGTATGGATTCTTCCTCACCTATCTTGTTGGAAGTTCACTGAACTCTCTGAACTTGGAATATGTAGTAATTATTATTTTCTGTGCTTAGTTCAAGCCTTACATGGATATGGATATATTTTGTCCGTTTTTCATTACTGTAAGAAAACAACTAAAGATGGGTAACTCTATAAAGAAAAGAGGTTTATTTAGCTCACAGTTTTAGAGACTGAAAGTCTTAGATCAGGAAGCCCCATCTGCTCAGCCTCTGGTGGATAACATCATGACAAGAACATTTGTGAGCAAGAGATCACATCCCAAAATAGGATGCTCAGGGATTCAGGAGTCAGGCTCAGATTTTATAACAACATGCTCCCTTTAGAACCAACCTAACAGGTTCCTAAGAACTATCTTAATCCCTTCCAAGGATAGTACCCCTAGTGACCTAAGGATCTCCCTCTAGGCCATAGTTCTTAAAGGTCCCACCTTACCACCTCCCACATCACCACTCTGAGGATCAAGCCTCTAACATGTGAATGTTGGGGAGCAAACCAGATCCAAATCATAGCAACAGAATTAGGACTCCTTCATTATGCTATGAAATTTATTTTAAAGTTACTGTGTCATAGTTCAGTAGGAAAATAATTAGTCTTCCAGAAGACAGTATTAAGTCAAGTAGATATTATTGACCACCTTTCAGTGCAGATTTCTTACTTATAATATTTGTATCCTAAAACAATACAATCTTTAGGATCCTTCATCCACCATGTCCATATCCTAGAACCACTTTAGATGTGCTATTTAAATGTAAATTACTTTAAATATACATTGCTGATAGAATCAGCAAGTGATGGAATGTCAGTTGGAGTCCTCATTGCTGATATAACCAGCAATGTATACTTATACCTATAATTCCAGCAACTCAGGAGGCTGAGTCAGGCGATCACTTGTTTGAGACCAGCCTCAGCAACTTTGTGAGACCCCATCTGTCGTGATGGGCAAAAGGTGTGACTTATGCAGTCAAGGGGGAGAAATAAAGAATGTCCATGTGCTTCTGCCCCTTTTCAGTGCTTTATTCACTCAAATCATTCAATACAATTTCACTCTATAGGTTCTCTTTTTTAAAATATTCATTTTTTGTTGTAGTTGGACACAATACCTTTATTTTATTTATTTATTTTTATGTGGTGCTGAGGACCAAACCCAGGGCCTCGCACGTGGTAGGCAAGCACTCTACCGCTGAGCCACAACCCCAGCCCACTCTATAGGTTCTTAATCAAGAAAAACGACAATCCTTAATGTGAGGCACTGCAATGGACATAATCAATTCACAGCAAACAATTCTAGATTAATTCTAAGCACTACAAACACACTTAATCATGACAGGCTCATGACAGACATTCCCTCTGCATATTAAGCTCAAGTGTCTGATCAAAAGAAGCCTTAGGCTTTAAGTCCAGCAGATGCCCACTCATTCTGACCTTGGTGATCAGGTCAGGAACCAAGGCAGGCTTCTCCTGTGGTGGACCTGAAGGCCGGTTGAGGAGAGGATTATAGGGAGAAGTTGCAGCTTTCACCATTGTCAAGATGTGGCTGTAGAGTTTGAGAGTGGTGAGAACCACGCAGAGGATCAGGCAAAGGATAACAAGTGATTGGATGTCAGTCCAGGTCCTCATCAGGCTCTCCAGCTTGTGTGCATCAGTATTGGCTGGCTGAATATCTGTTCATTTGCTCCATTACTTACACTCAATTTGGGGGCTTTTGACCCCCCTTTCAATCCTTATCAGCTACCATTGGATTTCTCAATGACATCATTTACCCTGGGGTTAAAACATCTGGTCTGATGGTCCCCACCCTGATCTTTTCACCTTTCCCCCTTATCCTGTGAGGACAGCCTAAGTTACTCTAAGTTTATGGAGGAGGTGGGAGAGTGACTTGTTTGTGCCTGAGGGCCATACTGGAGGGCTCCTTAGGTGTGCCTGGTGAGACTTGCAGGTTTCAAACTGGAGTTTTTTAAAATGTAGTTGCTTAGACTTAGGCCTTAGGCCATCCTCACACCATTTCAGAACAAAAAAGGGCTAGAGATGTAGTCTAGTGGTAAAGGGCCCCTGGGTTCAATCCACAGTACTATAAATATACATTATATTTATGTATATTTATATACATAAATATTTTGTACACACACACACACACATGAAAGTAAAATTGAAAATTCAGTTCCTCAGTCACAGTAGCCACAAAGTGTTTAATTAGCCATGTGTGGCTGATGACTACTGTATTGGGTAATAGGACATTTTGATCAATGAAAAAAGTACTTCTCTAAAGGATAGAGGTGAGAAATTTTCTTTACCATATGAAAGTCAGATAGTTATATACACCAACTATTTACTCTATTTAACATTTGTTCTTGTCCATAAATTGAAGACATTTTTAGAAGTGAAAAATGTTGCCACATTCCTATACAAGATACTGATTTCAAATCATCCAGTGTTTAGCTTTTCATGTGAAAGTGTTAAACAGGCAGCAGGATAAAGATTTCAAACATTTCCATCCACCAAAAACAAACTCTCTAGTTTATCCTTCCTATTTCCTTTCCTTCTCTGTCCTCTTTTCTCAGGTAAGGGTAGGCACAACTTCAGTCTTAAGATGAGGTAAGACTTGGAGAAGTAGAAAGGCAAATGTTTGTGTATATGTTTTGGTAGGTGTATGTAGGTTTTGGGGAAAATGACTTAACTTTTAGAATAATCATTTTTTATATGAGTAATCTGAGGTTAGAGGAAGTGATTGCCCTAGATCAGAATAGTGGTAGATCTAGGACTAAAACATGTGTCCATGACCCACAAATCAATGGGCATTCTACTAAATGATTTGTCTTTCCCATTTTTATTCTTTATTCACTATTATTGCTACAGATCCAATGGCAAAAATTTAGAGGTAAGAATAATTAACTATTATAATCAATTTATTTAAAGAAAATGATGCTTTTTATGTGTCTTAAAGGATTTGGTAATTGTAATTTTTACAGATTGAAGAAGAAGAGAGGAAGAAGATAGAAGATATGAAAGAAAATGAACGAAAAAAAGCAACTAAAGAATTGGAAGCCTGGAAAGAGTGTCAAAGAAAAGCTGAAGAACGAAAAAGAATTCAGAAAGAAGAGAAATTACATCAACAAGAAAAGCAAATTGACGAAGAAAGAAAAAAATTAAGACATAAAAATCTCACTAAAAATTCAACATCTAAAAATCTTGCCACAAAAGGTACATGATTAATATTTTTTTGGAAAAGTGAGTACTGTTGGTAAAGTATATATGACACTATTTTAATATGATAATTATTATTATTTTGGTAAACCTGTTCACAGTATTAGGTTGTTTTTTATATTGAGAATAAGCACTATAATATGAAGATTAAAATGAAATGTTAATATATAAGAAATATATTTCTTCTTATAAGAAGTAGTAAACTTTTCTAATAAAATGACTAAGGATTCAGTGTCTTTGCTTATGTGCCTTAAAAAAAAAGATGCAGATGCTGTTGAAAATGTTCTTAATTTAGGTCTCAAAAGAGTTGGACTGGCCAAGCAGCATAAGGAGTATTCATTTATTCCTTTAAATATGAGGAACTAGGAATTTCAGTAAAAGACTCTTTCCTAACATGACTGAGGAAAGTGAGTACTATAAGCAAACTTAGTTTTCAGTATATAACAAGGGCTGCTTCTGGCCTTTGATCCTGATGCATTCAAAGATAGGTAAAAGATTATAATTGTTTATTGAAAGCTAAATTTGACTTTATCTGATTTTAGAATATTGAATTTTATTGTAGATTTATAGAAGTCTCCCTTTATCCTTGAGGGATATGTTCCAGGATCCCCAGTGGATTCCTGAAATTGAGGATAGTAATGAACCCTATATATACTATGCTTTTTCCTATACATACATACCTATGATAAATTTTAAAGTTTTAAATTGTTCACTGTTCTGAGTAGTGTGATAACATCTTGTGCCATCCTGCTCTGTCCTTCCCAGAATGTGAATCATCCTTTTGTCCTCTGTATCCCTGTAGTATGTACCTGTTAGTCACTTAATAATCATTTTGGTTACAGAATCCTGTGAGAATGTTTATGTTAACAAATTAGGCAACTGAAATGAAATGTACTAATTTATTGAAAAATAAAGTGTACCCTAATTGGCACAGATAAAAGAGCAAATTTGAAAAGACACAGTAACTGAACTGGCTGTTATAAATCTTTCCACAGGGGCATTGTAGTTTAGTGGTATAACATTTGCCTAGCCTGTTTGAAGACCTGAGTTTGATTCCCCAGCATGGGAAAAAAAATTCTGGGAAAAAAAACCTCCAGATCCCAATGGTATCAATAATGGATTTGGGCTGGGCTGTGGCTCAGCGGTAGTGCACTTGCCTGGCATGTGTGAGGCACTGGGTTTGGCTTTCAGCACCACATATAAATAAATAAAATAAAGGTCTATAAACAACTAAAAAAACTTTAAAAGAAAAATTTCAAAAATGGATTCTACCAGACATTTAAAGAATGTCTGAAAAACGAAAAAGAATTCAGAAAGAAGATAAAATAATACCAATTTTACATAACACTCTTTTATGAAATAGAGGATAGAGGAACACTTCTCAACTCTCCCCCCACCCTTTTGAGGCCAATATAATTCTAAAATCAAATTCTAACAGAGACATTACAGAAAAAGAAAACTGTAAACCTATGTGCCTTATGAATATAAATGCAAACATCTGCAACAATACAGTAGCAAATTAAGTCCTACAATAGAAAATAGAATTTATTTAGGACTGCAAAGTTGGCTTACCATTTGAAAATCATTCAGAGTAATTCATCACATTAACAGAATAAAGGAAAAAATGTGATCATTTAAATATTACAGAAAGACATTTGACAAGATCCAACACTCATTTATGAAAAATTTCTCAACAAACTTCATATTTTCCAAGCAAACATCATATTTACTGTTGAATTATTGAATACTTTGCCCTATAGATCCAAGAACAAAGCAAAGATGTCCATTTTCACTATTTCTACTTAACATTATACTTGAAGTCTTTCCCATTGTGTTAAGACAAGAAGAAGAAATAAAAAGCATAAAGATTAGGTGAAGTTGGGTGTGGACATTCAAACCTAGAATCCCAGTGGCTTGGGAAGCTGAGGCATGAGGATAACAGGTTCAAAGGCAGCCTCAGCATCTTAGTGAGGCCCTACTTAACCTAGCAAGAACCCAGTCAAAATAAAAAAATTTTTTAAAAAGGCTGGATCAGTGGCTAAGCCCCTCTGTCCAAATAAATAAACAAAAAAGGTGAGAAACAGAGATGATTTTCAATGTAGAAATCCCTAAGGAAGATACAGAATAACTACTAGAACTAATAAGTAGATTTAGCAATGTTTTGGGTTATAATATTATGAAAGTCACTTGATATTTTTATTTATCAACAGCAAACAATTGGAAAATCAAACTTGAATCCATTTGTAGTAGCCCTAAGAAACATAAAATATTAATGAATAAATTTAACAAAAGAAATTCAAGATCTCATCACTGAAAGTTATGGAGTCATTGCTGAGAGATAGTTTAAAAGGCCTACATAAATGAAAAGGTATAACATGCTCATGAATTGGTAAACTTGATATTGTTAAGGTGCTAATTCTTATTGATTGATTGACTGACTGATTTTGATTGATTTTCATCTAGGGATTGAACCCAGGGATACTTTACCACTGAGCCACATCCCCAGTCCTTTTTTTTTATTTTTTATTTTGAGATAGGGTCTTGCTAAATTGCTTAGGGCCTCACTAAGTTGCTGAGGCTGGCCTCAAACTTAAGATCCTCCTGCCTCAACTTACAAGTGCTACAATTACAGGCATGTACCACCATGCCTGGTTCCAATTCTCTTTTTCTTTTTCTTCTTCTTCTTCTTCTTCTTTTTTTTTTTTTTTGGTTGTAGATGATATTACACAATACCTTTATTTTATTTATTTATTTCTATGTGATACTTAGGATTGAACCCAGTTCTTCACATGTGCCAGGCACGCACACTCTACCAGTGAGCCACAAACCCAGCCCTCTAATTCTTTTTAAATTGACCTATAGATTCAGTGCAATTCCAGTAGAAATCCCTTAGAGGCCAGGTGCAGTGGCACATGCCTATAATCCTGCGGCTCAGGGGGTGGAGGCAGGAGAATTGCAAGTTCAAAGCCAGCCTCAGCAATTTAGCGAGGTGCTATTAGAGAAGGTAGAAGAATTACTAATAAAATACAAAATAAGGCTAGGGATGTGGCTCAGTGGTCGAGTGCCCCTGAGTTCAATCCCTGGTATCCCCCCCACAACCAAAAAAAAACCCTTAGAAATTTACAAGTTGATTTTAAAATTTTATGAGAATGCAAGTGACCTAGCAAAAGAAATGAAAAAAAGGGGGGTGGATTAAACTACCTGATTTGAAGACTTAGCATCAAGCTACAGTAATAAAGACAGGGTGGAACTAATGAAAGAATGAATATACAGTTTAAAAGAGCAGAGTACAGCATGGTACATTAGCACATGCCTGTAATTCCGGCTACTCTTGGATGGGTGAAGCAGGAGGATCACCAAGATCGAGGCACACACCTGGGCAACTTAGTGAAACTGTCTTGAAATTTAAAAAGAACAGGCCAGGGATGTAGCTTGTAGTAGAGTGCTTGCCTAGCATGTGCAAAACCCTGGTTCAATCCCTAGTACTGAACAGTAGGCTATGATGCTAAAATAAAGAGTACTGAGGAAGCAAGAGATTTGGAAAATTTTTCAGAAAGTAGAACAGAATGACAAAAAGATTTAAAATAGAAAAAATAAAACAATTGGAAAATTCATCTAAGACATCCAATATCAAATAATAGAAATATTAGGAAAAGGGAAAGAAAAATAGGAGAGGAAATCATTAAAAGTGTTTTCTTAAATTCTGAGAATTAAAATAAATGAGTTTTTAGGTTGAAAGGTTCAAGCTAGTCTTTTTGTTTTGAGATGGTATCAGAGAATGCCACAGACTGGGTTATTTATTTATTTATTGAACCCAGGGGACTCTACCACTGAGCTATATCCTCACCCCTTTTTATTTTTTATTTTGAGACAGGATCTCAATAAGTTGTCTAGGCTTACAGTTAACTTACAGTCTTCCTACCTCAGCCTCCCTAGTAGCTGGTATGCAGGTGTGTGCCATCACAGCTGATTATGTTTAGTTTTGTAATAGTTGACAACTAGTTTAGTTTCATAATAGTTATGGGTTTTTCAGATTTTCTATTTTTTTCAAGTTTTGGTAACTTGTTTTCTAAATTGGTCATTTCATCTTTTCAAATTTGTTTCCATAAAATTTTTCTTATTTAATTATGTCTATTCTTAGACATCAGGTAGGTTCAAGCTAACCATTGTAATAAAGAGGTCCAAAAAATTAAGTTATTTGTAATGTGACACTTTCTTTTGCTATAGTGATCAATCTCGGTCTGATAGATGACTCTGTACCCACAGGAACCAAGGTCCAGACTGATATATTCACTTCTGTCTCACATCGTCTGACCGGCATTCCTAGGTTCAAGAGGCCTTTTCTCTTCCCTGCACACCTCCTTTGAAATGTCTTTTCTAATTTTTTATTTAATTATTTATTTATGGGATGGATCTCTCTGTGTTGCCCAGGCTGGCCTGGAACTCGTAGGCTCAAGTGATTCTTCTACCTCAGTCTCCCAAATAGCTAGGATTATACCTGGCCTTTTTCAAGTTTTTAAAAATAATAGTGTGTTTTTTTCCTCTTTCTCTCTTTGTTTATATTTATTTTCTGTCAAGGGTATTACTCCCTTTTGTGTGTGTGTGTGTGTGTGTGTGTGTGTGAGAGAGAGAGAGAGAGAGAGAGAGAGAGAACACCTAGGGGCACTCTACCACCGAGCCACATCCCCAGTCCTTTTTATGTTTTATTTTGAGACAGGGTCTTGCTAGGTTGCTGAGGCCAGCCTCAAATTTGTTATAGTCTCAGACTCCTGAATTGCTACCGTTACAGGCATGTGGCATTCTACCTGGCCCTATCCTATTTCTTGCAAATCTTTTTTTTTCCACCAGTTTTAATATTTGCGTTTAAGCCTGTGTATCATATTTTTGGTCCTTTATTGATAGTTTGCTTTTTATTGTTGTTGCTGTTGTTTTTAAGCTACCTTTTCTTTTCTTTATTCAAATAGGTTATATTCCAATTTCTGTTATATGAACTTAACAGTCATTACAGCACATCACCTTTATAAAAATGTTTAGCTTTTCATTAGTATTCTTTGCTTTTTCTCATTTCCTCTCTTTGATGGATGAAAAACTTACACTCTTACAAGGAAATGTGTGGGAGATATTGTCATAGAGTGTAAGAAAGTTAAGGTAGTATTGACAATGATGGATTTGCATAGGTGCTTCCTCTAGAGTTGATGTAGAGTTGTCTAAGTGCCCTTTTTTAGAAATGATGTAAATTCAACATTGTGGTTCAATAAAGAGAATCCTAGAAGAGTAATGGAGTTATTGATTAAAGAATAGATTAGCTGTCATGTTATTTTTTAAAATAATTTTTTAGTTGTTGATGGACCTTCATTTTATTCATTTATTTATATGTGGTGCTGAGAATTGAACCTAGGGCCTCACACATGCTGGGCAAGTGCTTTACAACTGAGCCACAACACCAGCCCTTGCCATGTTATTTTATATTTCTTTTTGAAGAAAATATTTTTGGTTCATTTGTTTAGGATTTCAGAATTAACTTAGATGTGTAATCATCTTAAAAGTCAATTTGTTAACTAGAAAGTGAGAAATAAATGATTTATTTCTACATTGCTTTTGAAGAGAGAAATTCAGAAAATATATTTTTGGGGAAGTTAAAGGAAGACTGTATTCCTGCACCTCGCTCTGTTGGAAATATTAAAATCAACTTCACCCCTCGAGTATTCCCAACTGCACTCCGTGAATCAAAAGTAGCAGAAGAAGAGGAGGTAGATATACTTGCTTTTGTTACAGTGATACCAGTTAAAATGCTTTAATTTCATTTCATCTGTCAAAACTTGTATTAGTTCTGTATTTTTAAGTATTTATTGTACTAAAGACTTCATGACTATATTCATGAATGTTTTCTTATGAGAAAGTATATTTTGAAGGTTTATTGTTGACTCCCAAATACTGATGAGACAACATTGATTTAATAAGTATTATTATTATTTATTCTAAAAGAGAAACTATTGCACTTATCATTTATTTTATCAGATGCATCATTTTCTTCTTTTTTTTTTTTGGTGTGTGTGTGTGTGTGTGTGTGTGTGTGTGTGTGTGATGCTGGGGATCTAACTCATAGCGTTGTACATGCTAGCAATCACTCTACCACTGAGCTATATCCCCAGCCCTCGGTAATGTATCAGTGAACTTTGGAACAGTATGTATTTTAGAAAAAAAAAAAGATTTGAAAATTATCATTAAACTTTCTGAGCCCTGGACTTTAAGTATTGTATCTTTAATTACATAAACACTAAGAAGTATATTTTTTTACTGTAAAGCAAGACTGATGCCTCTCTCAGCTGAAAAGTTGTTGTACAAACTAGGCACAGTGGCACATGCCTACTATAATCCCAGCAGCTGGGGAGGCTGAGGCAGGAGGATCACAAGTTCAAAGTTGGCCTCAGCAACTTAGCAAAAATAAAAAACAAAAAGGGCTGGGGATATAGTTCAGTGGTAAAACACTCTGGGTTCAATCCCCAGTACCAAAAACAAAACAAAACAAAAAAAAACTGTGGAAACAACTGAAGATCTTAGCTACTTGGGAGGCCAGCCTGGGCAACTTAGTGAGATCCTGTCAAAGGGATGGAGGTATAGCTCACTTTCCTAGCACATGCAAGGCCCTCAGTTGAATCCCCAGTACTTGGGATTGGGTTTGTATAAAGACTGACAGTTTAAAATCATCATCTAGTGCATTTTCTGTTCAGGCTGCTATAATCAAAATATCACAAATTTAGTGGCTTAATCAACAAACATTCCTTTATTATGGTTTTAAGATCAGGGTGGAAGGAAGCATGGCCAGATTTTTGTCGTGGGTCCTCATCCTAGTTTGTACACGACTACCTACTTAATATACCTTCACATGATGGTGGGGAAGAAGAGCTTTTTGATCACTTTTTTTTTTTTTTTGTACTGCTGAAGATTGAACCCAAGGGTGCTCTGCCACTGAGCTATATCCTCAACCTTTTTAAAATTTTGAGACAGGATCTTGCTAAATTCATTAAGGCTAGCCTTGAATTTACAATCCTCTTACCTCAGCATCCCAAGTACCTGGGATTACAGGCATGTGCTACCACTCTGGCTTTTCTCTTCCTATAAGGAGACTAAGCCCATGATGGGGTTCTACCTTCATGATCTTATCTAAACTTAATTACCACTTAAAGGTCCCATCTCCAAATACCATCACGTTGATGGTTGGGGCTACAACATATGAATTTGGGGTGAGACACAAGCATTCAATCTCTAAATCTAAATAATATTTCTATCTATTGAAAGAAGATGAAAAAATTAAAGTTAACTGTTAATTAAAAAATCAGATCTTTGTATATGATATGGTTTGATTAGAGTTTGTCCCCCATGTTCAGTAGCTTTCTGTCACTGTGAAAAAATACCAAAGGAAACCAACTTATAAGAAGGAAAGATTTATTTTTAGATCACAGTTTTGGAGGTTTTAGTCCTTTGTTGATTGGCCCTGTTTCTTTTGGTCCTGTGGTAAGGCAGAACATGGAAGCACATGGCGGAGGAGACCTATTTACCTCATGTTGACTAGGAAGCACAGATAGAGTAAAGGGACTGGGATCCCAGTATCCCTTTGAAGGTCATACCCTCAATAACCTAACTTCCTTCCATTAGGCCCCACCTCCTAAAGGTTCTTCTTCCTCCCAATAGTACTGCAATCTTTTTGTTTATTTTTTTTTTTAAATTTTAGGCGGCAAGTACCAGGGATTGAACCCAAGAGCACTTATCCACTGAGTCATATGCCTGGCCCTTAAAAAAAAAAAAATATATATATATATATATGTGTGTGTGTGTGTGTGTGTGTGTGTGTGTTTTAGTTGTAGATGGACACGGTATCTTTATTTTATTCATTTATTTTTATGTGGTGCTGAGGATCGAACCCATCAGCACAGATGGAACCCAGTGCCTCACACTCGCTAGGCAAGCACTCTACCACTGAGCCACAACCCCAGCCCTCCCTAGCCCTTTTTATTTTTTATTTTGAGACAGGTTCTCACTAAGTTGCTTAGGGCCTCACTAAGTTGTTGAGGCTGGCTCTGAACTTATGATCCTCCTGCCTCAGCCTCCCGAGTCTCTGGGATTACAAGCATATGCCACCACGCCTGGCTGTAACCAAGCCTTTTAAAACATGGCTTTGGGGGACATTTAAGATCCAAACTATAACATCCCCCAAAGGTTCATATGCTAGAAACTTGGTCCCAAAGTAAAGGTATTGAGTGGTGTTAGATCTTTAAGTGGTGAGGCCTAGCAGAAGGTGCCTGGGTAATGAATACACCATCCTTGGAAATGATTAGTGCTAGTCTTGAAGAGTGGATTATAAATCAGGGAGCCTGGCCATTTCCTATCTCCTGCTTCCTTTCTCGTTATATGATCCCCCACCCTACACACCCTGCTCTCGCTCTCTCTCTTACTCTCCCTCTCACCACACCCTTCACACTTGTGCCCACCACATGCCATTCACCATATTGTAATGTAGCCAGAAGGCTCTTACCAGAACCTGACCAGGTAGGGGTCATTCAGTCTTAGACTTAAAAGCCTCCAAAACTATGAGTAAAATGAACCTCTTTTCTTTGTAAGTACCCAGACTTAGGTGTTTTGTTATAGCAACACAAAATAGACTAAGACAGTGTCCTTTCCAAGACTTCCTTTTCATTTCAGTGGCTACATAAACAAGCTGAGGCACGAAAAGCGATGAATACTGATATTCCTGAATTTTGCGACTTAAAAGAAGACGAAAAGAACCCAGAATGGTTGAAGGAGAAAGGAAAGTAAGTTGTTTAAAATCTGACCATGCGATGTAAAATGTATGTAGGCATTGGTAATAATCACATTTTCTGGATATTTTGACCTCTGTGTTTATAGTTTTTGTTAGTGAGGAGAGATAACACAAATAAGCAAATAAGGTAGGCAGGGCCTCCATACTTAAGAAGTCAGATAATATGACAAATATGGGTCTTATTTATTTTTGGTACTGGGGATTGGCCTCAGGGGCACTTGACCACTGAGCTACATCTACAGCCATATTTTGTATTTTATTTAGAGATAGCATCTCACTGAGTTGCTGAATGCCTTGCTTTTGCTGAGGCTGGCTTTGAACTCATGATCCTTTTATTTCAGCCTCCCGAGCCTCTGGGATTATAGGCATGCACCACCACTCCCTGCTATGGGTCTTATTTTTAAATATAAATGTCATATAAATGAAAATATTTCATCTTTTGGGGTGTTTATTAACATCCCTTTTAAAGCTGGGTATAATGGTGCACACCTGTAATCTCAGCAGCTCAGCAGGCTGAGACAGGAGTATCACAAGTTCGAAGGCAGCCTCAGCAACTTATCAAGGCCCTCAGTAACTCAGTGAGACCCTGTCTTTAAGTAAAATACAAAAAAGTGCTGGGGATGTGGCTCAGTGGTTGAGTGCCCCTGGATTCGATCCTCAGTACCAAAAAAAAAATTGATTAATTAATTAAATAAAATCCCTTTTAAAATCACTTTTACATTTAGCATAAGTCCTTCCTAATACCTTCCTTAAAAACAGTTTTTAAAATAATTATTTTTATTATTCATTTCTATTTATTAAAAAGTACTTAATTGCCAGGTGTGGTGGTACATGACCTTAATCTCAGCTACTCAGGAGGCTGAGGTCAAATTTGAGATCAGCCTCTGCAACTTAGTGAGATTTGTCTCAAAATTCAAAGGGCTGGGAATGTAGCTTACTGGTAGAGTGTTACTGGGTACTGTCCCCATACCACAAAAAAATCAAATTAAAAAAATTATAAATAATTAAGTCCCAAATTATTTTTTAAATTGCATTTTATATCTAAACTGTCATTTTATTTTCTATGTTTGGTTCTGTGCATGAATATTTTAATACAGTTATTAAAAACAGTGAAGTGTAGTGTATTCTGGGTAGCAATATGAGCTCATACTTTGAGAAAGTTGTGGATTTTTTTTTTTTTTTTTGGTACCCGGAATTGAACCCAGGGGCGCTTAACCACTTAGCCACATCCTTATCCCTTTTTGACTTTTTGTTTTTTATTTAGAGACACAGTCTCACTAAGTTGCTTAAGGCCTCACTTAGTTACTGAGGCTGTCTTTGACTTATGATTCTCCTGCCTTAGACTCCCAAGTTGCTGGGATTACAGGCATGTGTCACTATGTTCGGCTTTCTTTTTTTCTTTTGTAAGGTCCATTAGACAACATTAGTTCCTTCCACCTTCATAACTTAGGAAACTATCTCAAGATCTTTAACTTAATCACACCTGCAGGGTCCTTTTTATCATATTAAATAACATATTCATGAATTCTGGGAATTAGGATTTTAGGATGTAGACATCTTTTTGGGGAACATAACATCTCTATTTTTCTTTTCTCATATTTTCTCTTGGTCTTTTCTTCTGTTACAACACCAGGGGGTGGTTTGTTGCATTTAGGTGGATTTGGCAATTTTTCTGAAGGTTAGAAGCTTGAGGTATGATAGGTTGGTTCTTCTTATTCTGAACAGTAAAATTAATGTGATCTTTCCTCTTCTATCTCTTCTTCCTTTTTTCCTTCCTCTCCATTTATTCAACCATTAAATCAACATCTGTTGGTTACCAGTGACTTGCCAGACTATAGCATGGAACTGCACTAAGAGAGCAGGGTAGAGACACACAAATACTTTAATACTGAATGGGAAGTACAGTAAGTTAGATGAGGAAAGGAATATGAAATTATGGAAAAGGGGCACCTAACCTTAAAGGCAGGAAGGTAAGCTGAGAAAAAGCTTTATACAGAAAATAGTACTTGAATTCCTTTTAATGATAACTAAGTTTTAGGAGGAATATAGAGAAAAGCATTTGTTTTAGGCAGAGGTGACAGAATGAACAAGAACACAGAAACAAGAAATAGTATGATGAAACTACAGGAAATTTATTCTTTGCTGAAACATAAATTTGACACTATGGAGATTGACGAATGAGCCTAGACGAATGCTATAGAGGCTTGTAAGATTCTTTTTTTTTTTTTAATGTTGTAGTTGAAGGCCTTTATTGCTTTTTATATTTTTTTATTCTTATTTGTTATATATGACAGCAGAATGCATTACAATTCATATTACACATATAGAGCACAATTTTTCATCTTGTAAGATTCTTACATGTTAGACCATAAGGTGGAGAAAAACTTTTTTTGTTGCAAAAACCCAGACAAAGCCTTTGAATTATGCCTCTATTATAGAGAAAGGGTGATTTAAGAAATATTTATGGAGTAAAATGGTCAGAAATTATTATTATTTTCAGTGTTGGGAATTGAACCCAGGGCCTTGAGCATGCTAGGTAAGCTCTCTACCATTGAGTTATACAGCAGCTCAGAAGTTCTTGACTGATTGTTGGGAGTGAGAAAGAAAAAGTACTTGTGAGTGACTTCCACATTTTTAGCTTGAGTGATTGTGGGATGCCACCAACTGAATTTTAGAATACTTAGAAGAAGAACTAGTTAGAAGGGAATGCTAGTAAGTTTGATTTTGAATAGGTTAAATTTGAGATTGTCTCTGAGGCAGTGACAGTGTGCAACAAGTATGAAACTCAGGGAAGAGGCCAGCGCTATGGATATATTATATTTGTGGGTTATCAGCATTTTAAATAGTAGGTAAATTTATAAGAGTAGGTAAGATGGGCTGCAAATATAGCTCAGTGGTAGAGTGTGTGTTTAGCATGTACAAGGGCCTGGGTTCAATCCTCAGCACTGAAATAAACAAAAAACAAAGACAATTAAAAAAAAAAGTTAGTGGTACATACTTGTGATACTAGCTACTTGGAGACTGAAACAGAAGTTCTCAAGTTTGAGAGCAGCCTCAGCAACTTAGTGAGACTCTGTCTCAAAATAAAAAGTAAAAAGGGCTGGGGATGTAGCTCAGTCCCTAAATTCAATACTAGAGAGTACTACTGAAAAACAAAAAGTCTTCGGATTTCCCAAAACAGTGTATAGACTTACAGCAGTGGGCTGAGGATAGCACCTAGTAACATTTAAAGGACCCACAAAATGCTGCTAGAAATAAATGAAGTGGAAACTCTTAAGGAAAGGTTTTGTTTGTTTGTTTTGTTCTTCTTTAGATTAGAAAAGGTTTGAATAAATTCAGAGGCAGGAGAAATAAAAGGTCATTGAAATGTCTCTAAAAGTGGAGAAATTTAGGTCAAGGCTAAGGTTGGAGGGATTGTCTGATTTTGTTCAGTTTTGTTTCTCTTTTTCAAAGTTGCATTAACTTTATAGTACAAAAAAAATCTTTTATTAAAAAAATTTGCACAAGTCCCCCTTTCTCCCCGCACCTCATTCCCTGTAATCCCAGGGATTGAACCCAGAGTCTCAGCACATATAGGCAAGCACTCTACCACTGAGTTCATGCCCAGCACTCTAGTATATATTAAATGTATTACATGGAAGTCTCCTTTGAGTTTTCACCTAGTTTGTAGTCTTCCTGCCTACCTTGTCCCTAGCTGTAACCAATCTTGAAAACAGTTTTTTAATTGTATTCTCTTATCTTTAAACTGCCATTGTCATAATCACAGTATGGTCACAGCTTGTGATAGTTTCCAAAAGTTTTGACATTGAGAGTTCCTTAAATTCTCATGTCAGGACCAGGGCTTGGTGAGCACATGCCTTTATTCTCAGTTACTTGGGAGGCTGAAGCAGAAGGATCACTTGAACACAGAAGTTTGAGGCCTGCCCAAGCAACTTAGTGAGACCCTATCTCAGAAACAAAACAAACCTATGCACACCTGTAATCCCAGTTTCTCAGGAGGCTGAAGCAGGAGGATCACAAGTTGGAGGCCGTTTAGGGCAATTTAGCAAGCCCCTATCTCCAAACAAAAAAAATAGAAGGGCTAGGGATGTATCTTAGTGGTAGAAACATCCCTGGGTTCAATACCATAGCACTAGAGGGGAAAATCCTCATAATTATAGTTGGATAGGACTAACTGTTTTTGCACTTATTTAACATGTGTATAGAGAAACTAGTAGCTTTGGGGCTGAGGATGTATCTCAGTGGTAGAGCACTTCCCTAACATGTGCAAGGCCCTGGGTTTAATCCCCAATACCAGAAAAAGGAAAAGAAAAATAAAGAGAACTAGCAGCATTGCACAAATTATTTCACTTAATTCCTATAATAACTTGATCAGTTGGATATTATTGTACTCATTTTATAAGGTGGAAACAGGAATAGGGAGTTTGAGAGTCTTGGCTAAAATGATATACAGAATTTGGGATTTGATTCTAGGCAATATGAAGCTTGTGTTCTCACCAGTGCTATAGATTTTTCACACATGAAAAAAAATACACTTCCATGTAAAAATTAATAAATAAATAATTGTTTTTTGAAAATACATTTCCAGTCCTTTTGTTTCATTTACTTAGCCCTAATAAAAGCAGCCCCTGTGTTTGGGGTATGAATTGGTCCTCCTTGCTTCCTGAGAGTGCAGTGCTAAGTGTATATAGCTGAGTATTGTGTTCTGTTGGATTGCTTACTTTGTTCTAGAAAATGCTGGCAAATTAACTTGGGATGGACAGAAACACTTCATTTTCTGAGATTGGAAGAAAGAACATAAAGACAAGTGTGGCTCTAGATAGATTTGTTACTAGAGATACTGATTAGTGGGTTCTGTTGAGAGCCCTACTAGATTAGAGAACATGAATTCAGAGAGATTCCAGTTAGTACAACTGTGTGATTTGTTTCCAGTGGTGTTCAGTCTTTCATACTTAAGCACAGAAAAGGTAGATTACTGAACCAGGATTGGAG